ACAGTCTAGACGCATCTGATAATTTCTGTCCTTTGTTATTGGTTGACAGGACCTTTGTCCGAACGCTATAGGTTAATGTGCCCATTTTTGGGTTCCAGGAAAGGCCCAGCAGCTTTGTAATATTATCCGTGAAAATCTCAAACTGCTTAGCACAATCATTTGCCAATTGTTGATGTGTCATAAGTGACCGTACATAGCTAATAGTGCTTCAATGGGAAATTGGAATCCTCTCTCCGAACGATTCTCTGGAAATCACGGCGATGTTTATTAACTTAAATTTGGCGGAACATTTTAACAATATCCACCTTTAAGACGAAATTTAAAAAAAAAAAAAACTGCCAATAAATTTCGATAAATGTTAGGTCCAACATGTAATGAGCTATTTATAGAAACACCATTGCAGCCTGTAAAGGAACCATCGAAAACTATTCTCAATTTTTTACTAAGCACCCGATGATGTGGAGTATAAAATATTGAGGACCTTTCTGGTACAACTAGAAATGGTTGCACTTCACGCGTATGGCCCAATGATTCATACTGTCTCATAAAATCTGTATACTGTAGTCTCAATGACGGATTTCTAAGTAAACGTTTCTGAATTAAATAGAACCGAAAAAGCGCTGCTGTTAAAGTATCTGAAAGTAAAGGATTAGCTTCTTTAAATGGAAGGCTAATAATATATTTATTATCTGCTTCACGATCTATTGTACGCGAAAAGTATTCTTCGACTAAGGCGTTATCTGGATCCATTACTTGGGTTTATAAAGCTCTTCAAGCTCCCAAAACTTTTGAAGTGATCCGTAAATATTTACATTAGTTGTAAAAGTAGTTGCAGAATTTCCTTTCTTCAAGGCGATTGACGTGGGCACCTATTCGAATATTGTGGAAATGGCTATCGGTCTACCAACTGAGTTAAATTTTTTCTTGCAATGGAGAATATCCCAAATGTATTGGGATCCTAGTAAAATATTAATCGGTAGGGAAACATAAAATTATGGGTCAGCAAGATAAATATCGCTTTCAGGACCTTACTTCACTGTTGTTGCCGGTAGAGGTCCCGTTATGATGTTTAATATTTGTACTTTAACTAGCAAACCATTATTTGATATTAGGTTGACCAGATTTAATGATATACATCCTCGTGTGATGCCGCTCTTTACGGAAGCTATTCCCGAAACAATTATTCGTAAATGATTACGATGTAAGCCAAATTTATGCCAACAATTTCCTGAGATATATGACAGCTCCGAACCCGAATCTAATATAACGCAGGAAGGAATAAAATGTCCTTGATTATTATGAATATTCACAATTGCTGTTGGCAAACAATTTTTGACTGATATTTGTGGTGTTGGCAAGGCAGCATCCCTTATTGAGTTGGGAAAGGGTGTTGGCTGTGATATGTGCGCTACGGTTGACAAGATTGCTTTAGGTGGCTCATCAGCAACGATAGTATTTCGATCTGTTGAAGGCATTGCTTGCAGCGAAACTTGGATCTGCAAGTAGATGATGTGTGTCCTAAGCTAAGGCAGTCAAAACATAGCACTTTATCCTTTACATGTAAACGTCGTTCACGAATAGATATGGTTAAAGGGATGAAAATTTTGCTAGAATATGAATATTCGATTCACAATTAATGCAAGTAGTAATAGACTTACTGCAATCAGTTGCTGCGAGAGTGTCGTGGTTTACCTTTTGCCGATGAGTGTACCTTAGTTGAAGTCGGTTGTGCTAGCTCTGGTTCTTCACATCGCAAGGTAGTTATGTTAGGATTAATGTCGTCTTTGATTTGTTCAATCCCTAACGCTTTGAAAATTGCTTCTAAGCCACGAATAACCCCATTTGCTCCATCCGAAATCCTTACTAAACCTAAGGCGTTTTCTTCCTTAACTACAGATAGTGACATAAAAGATTCGATGAAAGATGCGGCTATGTGGCGAGGTCGGTCATATAGCTCGTTCAGCCTATTCAATTCTGTGTTTTAGGAGCTCTCTGTAACGGAAGTATTGGTTAGAATTTGAGCCGCATCTTCTTTTAGAAGTGATTTCAAATAAAGAAAATTTAAGCATTTGTAAGATTATGTTCCGTATGGATAACGGTAATAAATAGATCCTTGAACGGCGGACAGTATGGGAGCTCTCTACCGTATTATAACGATTTTCGGATCTTTAAAAAGGCTTAACGATAATTTTAACGATTTCGCTATAATCTACATCCATTAAATCGATTTAAGGATTGTTAAAATTACTTACGATAATTTTAACGATTTCGCTATTCAGTAAGAACAGTATAACGATTTTCGGATCGCAAAGAAGACTCAGCGATATTTTCACCGATATTCGCCATTCTCTAAGAATAATATAACGATTTTCGGATCGCAAAGTAGACTCAGCGCTATTTATAACGATATTCGCTATTCTTTAAGAAAAGTATAATGATTTTCGGATCGCAAAAATGACTTAGCGATAATTAAAACAATTTTATTATGCGGTGTACTTGTTTTAACGATATTCGCTTTCGTTGTTGTCGTAAACTACTCGAAAAATCGCTAGCCAAGCGACGAACATTTTTAAGCTGTTAGCGATATCGAGAAAAAATTGATATATCATTAGGGTTGAAATATAGTGAAGTAAATCGGAAAATTGCCTGAGTTTTATAAAAATTTAAATAAAATTATAAACAAAAATAGCTTTTAGGCATTTGACATTCGTTTTATCCCAAAATGAGGAGGTATTGTACACTTCATCATTGGGTAGAAGTTTGTTTCAGGAAGTTGAAGATCTTTTCCACTTGAATGCAACTGAAACGCAGAAAATAACAGCATTGTATACAGAGAAACAGGTAGTAATCTAGCCTTTAAATATTTTTTCAGTTATTACACTATTGAAATGTTTAAATGTTCTAGCCTGCCTGCGATTTTTTGCAACTGGAAGATACCAACGGTCCGTCGGAGAGATTTTCTATTTCAACCTTCACTATTGAAGTAACAAAGTTCATTATTTTTGTACTCAGATATTACAATGGCAAATGTCAAGTACCCAAGAGCGCGGCACTATTATTTTATTTGGAGCTCCTCTATAGAGCGAAGAGTCATGCATGAAAATGCAACATGTTTTTTTTTGATAAACTTTGTAATGCATTGTTATTTATTTAAAAAAATAGTTTCTATAAAAAATTTATTTGTTTTTGACATTCCTCTTCGTGCGTTTCGCATATTTTAATATTATTAGCTGTGGCTCCACCTTTCCTTCATGTTAATAAAATGGAAATGTCCGTTGTCGATTATTGTAAAAACTGAGTTAGGGAACTGCATATGCGCAAGCGACAAAATTCGCAACTTTGCGATCCGAAAAATCGTGTGGATCAAAGTTACAGAACCGCACTGCAGGTTTTGTAATGACCGCTTAATGGAGGAATGACGATTTGATGTTGGAAGCCATCGACCTGCAGTGCAATTCTGTAACTTTTATCGACACGATTTGTCGGATCGCAAAGTTACGAATTTTGTCGCTTGCGCTAACGATTATGCGATTCTCTAACGCAGTTGTTACGATAATCGACATCGCACATTTCCATTTTATTAAAATGTAGGAAAGGTAGCACCACAGCTCAACGAAACGTCAAAATGTACGAAAAGCACAAAGAGGAATGACAAAAACATATAATTTTTTTTATACAAATTATATTTATTAAATTAATTGCAATGCATTACAAAGTTTTTCAATAGCTTGTTATGGTTTGCATTTTCATGCACGACTCTTCGCTCTATAGGGGAACTCCAGATAAAATAATTGTGCCGCGCTCTTGGGTACTTGGCATTTGCCAGTATAATCTTGCGATAAGGACCATATATCTATGTGAAAATATAATTAACTTTTTTACTACAATAGTAATCGGAAACAAATTTACTCTCACCATTTGCACAATGATGGAGTGGTATCCATGGTGGTTTATATACGCTTCTTCATGGTTTTTAACTCATGTGCAATCGATAGCTCCAATAGTGCCTCCAACATATGGTGACGATGACGAAGAAAAATTTGGAAAACTAACAGAAAATCTTGAACGGTTGATTGCGTCTGTTACGCAATGAACACAACGGTTTACTGACGACTGACTCATGGACATGCCCATTGCAAAAAATCGCGAGGCGGTTAGAACCTTTAAACATTATAATAGCGTTAAGACTAAAAAAAATATTGAAAATATATATTATTAACTGTTTTCCCGTAGACAATGCTGTTATTCTTCTTCCTTTTAGTTGGCAATATAGTTCAGAAACGATTTCTTTAACTAAATCCGGCGAAACTCGGTAGCATCCAAATGAAAAGGATCTTCCGCTTCTCGACGCAAACTTCTATTCAATGATGAAGATTAGGATACCTCGTCATATTGTGATAAAACGTATGCCAAATATTCAAAACCATTTCTTTTATTTTTTTATTTTTATTTTTGTATAACTTTGACAATTTCCCGGACACTTTACTCTCTTAAATGAAATAACAAAATTTTGTCGATATCGCTAACAACTTAAAAATATTCGTCGCTTAGTTAGCGATTTTTCGAGTAGTTTACGACAATAGCGAGAGCGAATATCGTTATAACAAGTACACCGAATATTAAAATCGTTAGAATTATCGCAAAGTCTTCTTTGCGATCCGAAAATCGTTATACTAGTCTTAGAGAATAGCGAATATCGTTAAAAATATCGTTAAGTCTTCTTTGCGATCCGAAAATCGTTATACCATTTTAGAGAATAGCGATTATCGTTAAAAATATCGCTAAGTCTTCTTTGCGATCCGAAAATCGTTATACCATTTTAGAGAATAGCGAATATCGTTAAAAATATCGCTAAGTCTAATTTGCGATCCGAAAATCGTTATACTGTGCTTAGAGAATAGCAAAATCGTTAAAATTATCGTTAAGTCATTATAACGATCCCAAAATCGTTAATACGATAGAGAATTGCCCTACTGCTGTAAAAGTATCGTTTGCTGCTCCATTAGTCTGGCTAGGGTGTCATATTCCTTCTCATGTCTAGGTGACGTTATTGATGTGCGTAATGTACGAAGTCGACTATTTGTATGTATAACCTTTTCTTCATAAACTGCATAATCTAAATCCGAATCTGCATAGCCCAGATCATTACTAAATTTATACATTGCTGTGGTGAGTATAAAAAACTCTTCCCAGAGTTCGTGCAAACCATCTAATCGTGCAGATATTTTCTCTGGTGGTAATCTGCTGGCGGCTTATCAGCGTATGCACCTAATCGCGAAATAGAACGATTTATGCGTCAACGTAGTTGAACTAATTCTTACCAATCTCTTTGCATCCTGCTTACAGTTCCGTGTGCGCTATCCGGCTCGAAGGACCAGTTTTTATAATGAATTTAGAACAAAAGATTAACTCAAAATTTAGAATTTTATTATTCAATTAAATTAACTTGTTAATGTTCATATTGAAGTTTCGGCGTATGGTAAATGCAGATATGTTTTTTTTTTTTAGCGTTTCATACCATTCCTCAACAAGTCCAACTCACTACTTACTTTGCATGCAATAAAGTTGCCTGGTAACTGAACGACAGTTCTTTGTTCTTTCTGTTCGTATAATAATATAATAACAAATTCATTTATTCAGTGATCGAATCCTGGTACGATGTTAATATTTTGTTTTATTTTAAGCTATTAGAACAAGGTTCATTCACTGTGAAATAACTTTTGGTTGTGGATTTGAATAAATAAAAAAATATAAATAATATAAAGACCAGGAAAGCAATTGTACAGTCAAAAGATGATTTTTTTTACCCCGAGTGTGTTCATCGAAGTGGTTGGACGATTGAACTGCAAGTCCCAGACTCGACTTTCCAACTTGTTGATTTTGGTTTTAATTCCTTTATTTAGTTCCTTAGTTTTAAGTTGACCCTCGCCTTACCTATTCCTTTCTGAGGAGAGTTTAGTCAAATACTGAACACTGAAAATTTTTCAATTCTTATAATTTGGGATTTATTTAGCAAACCATTTTCGATTCCCAAATCTTGAAACGAAATTGTTTGGCTGGGGTAAGCTCAGTGCAGCTAAGCTCATAAAGATCGCGGAAGTGAAATACCCTCCACTGGTCTTCCGTTCTGTAAGGTGAAATCCATCTTGCGAATAAACTCTACCGCTGCCGTAAAAGTTACGGAGGTAGAACTCCCTCCATTAACTTTCTCTCAACTAACTTTGAAAACCGTGATATTCACGGGGAAGCATATCTAGGGACCATATACTTTCTTTTTGCATAATATTTTATTGAATCTTTCCTTTTTGGAAACCAGCAATACTCTCGAAAATCTTAAAGCCAATTCTTATTCCTAGAATGAACTTATCATTACCTCTGTATATATGAACACAGTAAGCAAAGTACAATAAATTACGAATATAACTTAGATTTATCAAAGAATGTGTTTATATAGATATCATTAGGGAAACCAAGTACTCATGTTTAAAATTTAACAAAAGATATATCATAAAGGATAATTTGAAGTGAGTTATAATATTATGAAGGATAAATGCGGAGCGCAACTTAGACGTAGAATAACTGGATGCGGCAGAGTCCTTAGTCACAGTACAATCGTTAATTCTTTCACTTTAATCGGTTAGGGTAGTTTTGCGCTAATAATTTTTTAGCTAGAAAGTTTGGGTGGTTTGATAACCTTAGTGAGTAATTTTTAAGCAGTTTCACTATTTCCTCGGTGACAGTTTTAATCCCGAGATCGTTGTGAATTGTGGAGTTTTTTATGCTGAGCCCAAAATTTGGATCCCGTATGTCCAAGATTAAAAAGTAAAACTTTGTTTTCTAGACTTTTTTTTAAACTTAGAGCCTACAATCCATTGCAAGTTCGGAATTTTCAATTTGGTCTGAGTATTTTTTTGTCTATGTGGTTTTTCCAGGTGAGTCTTTTATCCAATGTAACTCTCAGGTAGGTAACGAATTCTTTCTAAGTTATTGTATTCCCATTTATAGAGATTGAAGGACATGTGTCTTTTTTTTAGGGTAAATGTTACTTGTATACACTTAGACTCATTGACTTTAATTCTCTAAGTTGTTAGCCACTCTTCTTTTACTTTTAAATGTTCTTGTAATCTGTAACTCGCTGGGGTTTTATTAAGGACACTAAGGATTGCTGTATCATCCGCAAAAGTTGAGGTGATGAGGTTTCGGCTTGTGGTTAGATCGTTCGAATAAATTAAATATAAGACGGGCACTAAAACACTTCCTTGTGGAACACCAGCAAATATTTCTTAGGATTCAGTGGTGTAACTTTTATGCCTAACACGAAATTTTCTACCAATAAGAAAGCTTTTTAAGACATCAAAAATTCTACGGGAAGCGTGTACCTTTCAGCTTGGACCTTTCAGATAGACCATCTAATTAAACTTTATCAAATGCCTGAGCAACATCGAGGAACACTGCAGTACAATATTCCTTGTTTTAAAACGCTGATCTTATGTGTGCCACGATTCTATGCACGTTCTCTATTGTGCTGTGTTTTTCTCTAAACCCGAATTGGTTGCATGGTATGGTCTGTTTCGATTCTAGAATCGGTAATATTTTTTTAAATAAAAGTTTTTCGAAGATTTTTGAGAATACCGTAATTAAACTAATAGACCTGTACGTGCCCACCTAAGATGGATCATTACCCCTGTCTGGGGATCATAATAATTTCCGAACGCTCCCAGGATGTATGAAAATAGCGTAGTCTCTATATGATATTAAATATACAAAGCATGTGTTTAATTGTCGCAGTTGGAAGCTCTTTTATCATATCACCCGTTATCCTGTCGTATTCAGGAGCTTTCTTTTTCTTTATGTCGTTAGTAATAATTTCTGTAAGTGATCTAAAATTAAATTGAATAAAATTTTCATCTGGATCTGCACGAAATTCTGGAAGAGATTTGTACCCAATATTTGGTGTAAATACAGTGGAAAGATACATGGCAAATGTGATATCCTTTTCCTGGTCGCTTCGAGCCCACTCACCATTCTGAGTTCTCAATGCAGGGTCGCAAGTAATGGGACTTTCGAAAGTCTTAACTTCTCAGCTCAAAGAGTAGTTAGTATCAGAAGTAGCTGACAGAGAATTGGCAAACTTCTTTTGTGTATGTCTGTTCATTTCCTTTGTTTTGCCTAATCTTCCTTACACTCCAAGCGTTGGTAGTGTCATCTGTCGGCAAAGGCGGGTTAAAGTTACCCCCAACAGCACGGGAGTAGCGCGAGTGGGTTCGTAACCAGTTCGGTTGGACCACACCTCGGGTGCATCCAAAAACATATTTTGTTTAATTATTTTTTAGTATTTTGACTTTGCTGTTTAATTCTTATTGTAGTGCGATTTGTTTACTGCAAAAATTCACTTGGTTTTGTTTTCGTCCATTGTTTTTTGTTCTTGTAATTAGCTGTTGACCTGTCGCTTTGTTAGTTTTTTTGTTATCTCCTTTTTGTGTGGTAGTTTGTTTTGACGCTTGTGGTTGTTGGTAAATGCTTGACCAACAGCCAGTCTACGTACACATGTGTATGTATGCACATACATATTGTTATTATAAAAAGTGGATGTGACAAATTGGCGCCCAAAGTAGGGCCCATACTTTATGGATAAATATATACTATTTAAAGAGAGGTTGTATTTTGAAATATAGTGTGGCCCTGTATCGGCAGTGGCGTTTTGTTTTTGTTTTTGTTATTTTTATAACTATTAACAACTTGCTTTTTTATTTGTTTAGTATTAGTGGGGCATTGGAAGGAGCTAGTAAAAATTGGGAGTTGAACCCAGGCCCAGAGGAGAAAAAAATTTAGTCTGTACATAGTACAATACAAAGGAGTTCGGGGACTCCGTTCCGTTTTGGCAAATCTTTTGTGTATTTTGTTTGTTGCGGTATCTCGCAAAGGAGCATTATACCGGTAGAAAAAACTATTGGTCAACTGTGTTGAGACTGGTCCGAAAGTGCCTAGTAGTGGTTGTTTTATATAAGTCTGTGGTCTTTTTTACCTCTTTTTGTCGTGATAGGGTCTTTTGTTGTGCCAGTATAGGGCAACGCGAAAATTACATTAGAGTTATAGCTTTTTTTAATTTTGATTGTAATTAAAAAAAAATTTTTTTAAATAAGTTTTATTTCTTTGGATTTTTAATGTTTTTGAGTTTACGTTTTTTATTTTAATATGGAGATTAATCGGTTAGCGCAGGGTGAGCTCGCGTACGAGGTGGAGGCACGCGGTCTTCCAATCGGCACGGTCGAGGCTATGAGGAAATCGATAAGGGCGATGCGTCTATTAGAAAAGAGAGGGTCTGTGGACTTCTTTCAGGACTACCCCTTTAGTTTCGATGTCGGCATGTCGAGTCGAAACTGGGGGAGGAAGAAAAATTGTGTTTATCGGTTTCGGGTGGAGGCAAGCCATCGCACGAAGCGAAAGCCATGGCAAAGATCGAATGGTGCCTATTGCGAATAGGACGGGCGTGACCGGAAAGTGACGGCGAGATGACTCAGCAGATGGAGCTAGGAGTAAGTTGTTGCTTCATCTCGCCGAGCTACAAGAGGTAGTCGGCGGTGAAGAAGCCATAGAGGAAATCGGTTCCGTCAAGCGCTCGGGTGCCATTCGTGCGGACCCGATAGCCCGTGGAAATACGAGACGTGGCCGAAGAGACAGTCGAGTCTCAGAAGTCGGTGAACTTGTCAAAGTGGGACGTCCACTTTGCATTTTTAAAACGGGTTGAGGAGTTGAGCGAGCTCAACTTTTCCGCGGCGCGGTATACCTATTCGTATGAGTCCATAGGCGTATATGTAGCAGCAATGAAGATAGTGTTCTGCTGGAGCCTCCATCGGAAAAAGCCGATGTTAGGATTGATTAGGTCGAATCTCCTTCCATTTTATCAGCTCCAGTTGGGCCTTGTGACAATAGGATCGATTTTAGAACTAGTTGCTTCGGGTAGACAACTAGAAAGGGTTAGGTCGTAGGTGGATGCATTTGTCCCTCCTCCGAGTCATAAGGCCAAGGGTTTATTGGAACATTACTTGGCTTAAGTCTCAGCTGGTGTGTAGGTCGCGGCGCTAGCTGAGCCGGACCTTGTTGATAGCTTTAAGCCGGGGTCGAACTCCCGATGTTTTAATTGTAGGAGATTCGGGCATGTCTCTTCAGACTGTAGAAATGGGACAAAGTGCTTCGGTTGTGGTTAAATTGGAGTCATGAAGTGGGACTGCCCGGAGTGTGCAGCGAAGCCTAGTGGCTTCCCGAGAGCCCAACGAAGTACGGCTTCCGGTGGTGGGCGAAGCCGCAACCTCTTCCGTTCAGGGCCCGTTAGAGATAGTAGGGCTGAAAAATGAATAAGGAATTCTCGATCGAGCGATATTCTTTTCAGGTCGGACAACAGATCGGGACACGGGAGATAGACCCCTGGGACAGCAGATGACGGACGGTCACGACGAACGTCCTTATTTGGATGTTAGGATCCATGGTTTTGCTACTATGGCTTTGTTGGATTCTGGTGCGACCAGAACAGTAATAGGTCGATTAGGTTGGCAGAAATTGAGTTCCTATAACATCAGGGTGAACTCTATCTCGACTTTTTGAGAGTGACTCTCGCGGATGGAGGTCATATCTCGGTGTTGGGTTCGGTTTTGTTGCCAATCGAGGTGGAGAGCAAGTCGGTTCTCCTAGAATGCTTCGTGGTTCCAGAATTACCTCAAGGCGTAATTCTTGGCATCGATTTTTGGGCCAAGGCGGGTATTATCCCGGATATATCGAGGATGAGGTGGTCGTTTTCTCGGCCGGGACCAAGACCGTTGGTGGCAATAGGGAGCCACTCCGAGTTAGGCGAAAGAGAGTCTAGGGCATTAGGTCATTTAATAGCTGGGGCGTTTCAGGCTATGCCGGAGGGGATAGGCCGGACCCATTTGGTCGAACATAGGATCAGGGTAAAGGCAGGAGTTGAACCTGTAAAACAGAGGTATTACCCTGTGTCTCCCGTCATACAGTCGCGTATGGACGAAGAGATTATGGATATGCTTGACAGAGGGGTGATAGAGAAATCACCTAGTTCTTAGGCGTTTCCAGTAGTTATGATCAGGAAGAAAGACGGTACATATAGGTTTTGTGTAGATTAATAAATGTACCGATAAAGATAGTTACCCACTTCCATACGTGTCGGCGACCTTAGATAAGCTAAGGGACGCCAAGTTTCTGTCCAGTCTGGATATTAAGTCCGCTTATTGGCATATCCCGGTGGAGGAGCAGTCGAGGCCCTTCAAAGCGTTTACGGTACCAGGCAGAGGACTATTTCAGTTCAAGAGGATGTCATACGGTTTACATAATGCACCGGCAACTTGGCAGAGATTTATAGATTCGGTCATAGGACCAGAGTTAGAACCTCATGTTTCTGTGTGTTTGGATGATATTATTATCGTCACAAATAATTTTGAGAAACATTTAGAGATTTTGAAAGACGTTTTAGATAGAAAAGCTACAGCAGAGCTTAGATTAAATAGAGCTAAATGTAATTTTTGTAGGTCTGAGCTGAAGTATTTGGACTACGTGGTTGACAAGAACGGTCTGCACGTGGACCATGAGAATGCTTCGGATTTTGCAGAGTTAGTTAGGCCTCTCGGCGATTTAACAAAGAAGAACCGAAAGATTGTGAAAGAAGTTAAGAGAAGAGAAAGAGGGCTTTAGGGCTGTACATCTGCTTGGTCGGTTTGTCGTTTCGCTTAAGTACCTTATGGATGACGATGTTTGACTCCCTTGGCATCTTCTCAAACCTCCTTAGGTTGCGCATTGTCGGCTTCGTTGCATAGTTTAATGGTTGATGACTGGACACGGTCTTACTGTGGTCGCGCTCTGCTTCATTTAGCCGATATGGTCTTACTGTATCTTCAGACATCCTCGACTGTTCCCGTCTCTCGATATTGTTGGGGTACCTGTAACCTTTTAAATGGCCTTTCTTCACGTGCATGAGCAGGTACCGTTCTTGATGCTCCTGCTGTTAATGGTTAAAATCGCCTTTCGTCTCCGTTTAGATATTGTGAGCGATCCTCTCTATGACGCGGTGCAAATGGTCTTGCTGTCAGCTCTCTCTCGGGTGGCAGATTTTTGCAATATTCTACCAGGCCCACTAGCTCTTCCAGGTTCCTAAGCTTATCCCTTTGAACTTCTCGCTTAGTCGTTGTTTAGTAGTTGTTCGAAATAACCCGAGCTAAGAAAGAATTTCAAGAAATCTCTCTTGAATGACCTCCACTGCTGCCAGTGCCGGTTGTTATTGCAAATCCACACGAGGGCTTTGCCCTCCAATAGCTCTGGTAGTGCCCTTGGGTTTGAGCTCCGATCGATCGCGGAGCCGTCCACTAGTTCCTCCACTCGTTCCACAAACTCGTGTCCGGCTCCTTATCGCCGTCGTTTCGGGATCATTTTCGCACGCGGTCCATAATTCTCGCGGACGAGAGTGTCGTAACTGTAGGCTCTTTCTTGTCTTCCGGAAAATTGTACCGTGCACCTTCGTCGTGCCGTCTTGGTAAGGGCGATTAAGTATGCTCTCGTGGCGTTGCCGGCTGTGACAGTATGGCGGGCATGTCGAAGGGTCAGCTCTGTGAAACGATCTTTCAGATCTTCTCTTCTTCTACTAATCAAAGTGCTACTTATGTATCAAATTTCAAGTTAATCGAACTATAAATTAAAATTTTCCGAATAGATCAGTGCTAGGTCCTCTTCCCGGTATTAAAAATAGATGTGATGCTATTCTTAGACTTACTGAATATGCACAATTTCATCAAATGAAAAATCGCCAGGCGATTTATCACCTTCCCCTCTTCTCGTATCATAAACAAAAAAATTTTTTCTTTTTCCCCGTATTCTAAACAAACTTTGGAAGTGGTGATAAATTCTCAGTAGAAAAAGTTGCCATCACCGATGCAAAAAAAAATATCGGATGATTTCAATATTCCGAGATAGTTTTTTTACAAAGAAGATGTGTGGGAGTTTTGATAAAAAATGTTTTTAAAAAAGTATTTAATAAATATAACACAAAAAATCGTATTAATGGTTTCTTTTCACTAAAAATTGTTTTAATGGTTTTTTTTGGTCACAAGCAGCGAGTAATGTGCAGTTGCAGTTGCTAGTACAGCTGATGAAAACTCAACCGGCTATAGCCATAAAATTTTTAAAGGGTAATAGGAGGAGTTCAATCAATGGTGCATAACGAACTTAATATCGCGGAGCCGCCTGTAAAAAATATTGTGGAATAAAAGAAGGTAAAATTTCTTTTCCAGTAAAAGGCAATTTTCTAAGTACGCATTTTAATTTTATGTGTAGGCCGATCAAAAAAATTACATGCGTCGCAAAGTTTGAAGGCCAGAAAACACGGCTGGAGGTGGCCTTAATGCAGAGCATAAATTGTCCCATCACGAACGAATGAAAGAGTTGGTGGAATGGTTTTTTGCGAGAAAGTTCGGATTGCTGGAGTGGGAGGCCTTACCAAACGGCGTGTATATTTGCTCTGGTCTTGAATTTAACTACGTTGATGAAGAATTCGTTGCTATTCTTCTACATTTGCTACAGCAGCGAATAGATAAAGTACCACAGTACCCACGATTTAAGTGTAATTTTTTATTTCAATAACAATTGCTCTTTCATCAAACTACAATACACTGTAATACTAAACAGCTGCGTATAATTTTCAACGCTATTGATTATTATATTTATAATTATTATATTGTTGCGAAAATGCGAGGCGAATATCAGATGAAGGAGAGAAGCCGATAACTAGTACATTCTAGAAACGATAAAACAAGAACCTTCCATAGCGAACAATTCGATGCTTCTACGCTTTCGTCCGCGAGCAGCCGACTGCTATATAAGCGGACACTCAGCTGCCAAGAAGTTAGTTAAAAAGTGAACTGGTTGGTGTGAACATCAGTAAAGTCGGAAAGTAAACGCGTTGGAGATTACATTTAAGTAAAGTAAATTGTGAAAAGTTGATACTAGTGATTGTAAATAGTAAAGTGCATTATAATTGAATTGTGAATTACGGAGTAAATAAAGGACATTAGATTAATTCTTTATAACGAAAGAAACTGCAAATTAAGTTGGCGAGTTTTTATTTAACAATCCAGAGATCGTACCCGAAGGATTTAGGATATAATCGAGGTTGATTTAGTAAAATCGTAACAATATATATATTTCCACTTTGAACTAAAATGCACTATTTTTATTTTTCAATTCAAAATTTTTAGAATTTTACTTATATTTTGATTAATGCACAACCATTTTGTTATTTAGAGAGCGAAAGTTTATATATATTATTCCACATATTTTATTTATTTAAATTTTTAGCTTTCGTTAGCGGATGTGGGGTTGCAGGTAAGTATTGTAAAAAGGAGAATAAATTCGAGGTGAGTATAGGGTAAGTATTGAGGCAAGTATTTTATATTGATAAATAATAAGATATGTAAGATCTTATAAAAGTAAGTGTGTATATGTCAATTTATTTAATATATTTAAACTATGTTCATGTCTTCAAAAAGCTGATTTCGAAAGTGTAAAAATCGTACTCCCAAAAAATCATTCTTCCTGTGCAGTTAGAATTGGGGATTTCTATGTCTGCAAGGGAAAATTTCCGCGAGAACATTTACAATTGGGCTGTATATATTTAAAATATTAAATATGACGTCTATGCACCATTATCATACAGGCGTAGCAAGCCGCCACTACACTTAGACTTTTACTAAATCCAGATTAAAGTCATTCTGGATGGCAATTTTAAATTTTGGCTGCGTTTGAAATTTCTCTCCATCATCTTATTTTCTTCATTCCGGTGTCAAATCGAGCGGGAAGACTCATACAATTTGATTTTCGAGGTACGTTTCATTGTGATCGATCAATATAAATATAATTAATTGTTGTTAGTTTTTCTAGTGAGCTAAAAGTCTGGTTTGCTTTTATGAATTGAATAATTTTTGTTATGCAACAAAGAATAATGTGGAAGTTTTTTTGGACCAATATGCGATATATTATATATATATATATATGTATATATGTTTTGTTCGCCGCAGGCTTGCCATTCGCGACGCAAAAGCCGCTTATGTTTGACCAGTAACTCTACTCCGCTATTAGTTATTAAGGTTTTGGATTTTGTTTTCTGCTCTGCAGTGCAATTCTGTAACTTTTTCGACACGATTTGTCGGATCACAAAGTTGCGAATTTTGTCGCTTGCGCTAACGATTATGCGATTCTCCAACTCAGTTATTACGATAATCAACATCGCACATTTCCATTTTATTAAAATGTAGAAAAAGGTGGCACCACAGCTTAACGAAACGTCAAAATGTACGAAAAACACAAACAGGAATGACAAAAACATATAAATTCGTTATTCCAAATTAGTAAGTACATATTTTTTCCAAAAGATGTTAGCAGAGTCGAGTGAAGCATCCACCCACATTGCAGGCAGGCAAGCTGATACCTTGTAGCTAATTTTTTTTAAATGCCGTAGAATCACATTGCGAATATATGTATTATATGTTTTTAATAGTGGTTAGATGAAAGCAATGCGGTGACCATGCAGGCATTGGCAGATACTATAATCACAATGGTTGAAGGATTAGAAGCTTGAGCAGCTGCCTTCAACAATTTAGCCGGCGCAATTAGCCATATGTAAATATGGATGTAAATATATTATGGAGTTGAAAGTTATTTTTTTTTAGGTTAGTGTAAAGTTAAACATAGAATAAGTTATTTTTTTATATTCTTCATTTAAGTATTAATTTAAAAAAATTAAGTTTTTGGAAAGTATTTTTTATACTTGAGTTTATATCTGACTCTACATTAGATATACTATGATCGATTCCTTATTACATATATTAAAAAAGTAAAGCAATTATGAACATAAGTTTTAGTTGTAAGATTCTCCTATAAGAAACTTGCATGCGATGATATGCGGTATTTAAACCCATACAAAAGACTTATCTGTGATTATATACTTAGATCTGTAATGAATTATGCATTTAAATTAAGTTGTATGTTGTATGTATTTTGTTGAGTTATCTGAACTTAAGTAAAATGTTGGAAATAATAAGACTGAAGAATTTGTTGCTATTTTTTTAATTTATAAAAAAGTTTAATAAAATTACAAATTATATAAATTATATTGAGGAGTTTTTATTTATCAAATTGATATTTAAGTGAAATAATTCGCGATCAGGCGATCTTGGACGCGTTTTACTGTTGAGGATGGTGCCTCATGGTTGAAATTGACGGTATTTTTTCTACTTTCTAGGAACTCTTGCTCAAGCTCATATATTTGGTCACCTAATCGAATGTTATGTAACACTGAGCACGCATTAACTATTCTACCAGTGAATCCAGGATCGTGCAAAAGAGTTCAGAACGCCAAAAAGTCGCTCGACAGGGTTTCGTGATTTACACAATGCCTCAATGTAGCGGAATTTAGGACTTCCTTGTGGTTGGTGTGGAAGAGGAGTAATTAACCACGGCTTGCGATCCGAAAATCTTTGTGCTATTTTAAGATAATAGCGAATGCCGTTAAAAATATCGCTAAATCTTCTTTGCGATCCGAAAATCGTTATACCATGTTAGAAACAGCGAATATCGAGAAATCGTTATACTATTCTAAGATAATAGCGAATACCGTTAAAAATATCGCTAAATCTTCTTTGTGATCCGAAAATCGTTATACCATGTTAGAAACAGCGAATATCGTTAAAAATATCGCTAAGCCTTCTTTGCGATCCGAAAATCCTTATAATGTATGTAGAGAATAGCGAAATCGTTTAAATTATCGTTAAGTCATTATAACGAACCACAAATCGTTATAAAACGATAGAGAACTTCTCTACTGGTTTGGTTATAGTTGCTGCTGTTGCTAGTATACTGATAAATGCAAGTAACTTGTTTTCAATATCAGTTTCTCCTTCTATTTTCGCATCGGTTCGTTTATGGCTGCTTATGTATTTTTTATATTTAAGCCTGCTAGTTCTGAATGTATAAAGTCGACAAGTATGCTTAATTTCAATTGCTTTGATTATTGAGAAATGGTCAGAAGATAAGTCAGCATAGTTTTCAGCAAATACTAAATTCCTATCTACGTGGACGTAGCGACTCCTAGGTCAATCAGGTCGGGTAATTTCCTTACACCATAAATTCTGAGCTCACTCATGTTTGGTCAACAAGGTTTGAAGCATTTGATTTTGCGACACAAGCCAATGCTCCTTATTCAATGGCGTCAACTTTTAGACTCATTGTAGTTAGAACAACCCTGTCGCGTACTAGCCATAACAAAAACTTCTTTGTGTTTGTTTGATCATTTCCTTTGTTTTGCCTAAGTGAAGGGGAGCTAAAAGCGTTGGCAATGACATTTGTTGGCAAAGAGTTGCGCAGAATAAAACCATGAATTTTTGGCATGGTGTATTCGGTGTGTGCATACTTAGTGGTATAAGTCTCCAAAAAAAAGTGTTCATATAAGACAGCTCCTCCGCTAACAAATATTAGGGAAACGGAACAAGGCGTGCCGTATTTCTCTTTATACGGCGAATGGAAAATTATCTCTTGGTGTGCCACGGCGGCGCATCCTGTTACAGGATATTTTGATGGGTGTTTTATTTTCGTTTCTGTGCACATAATTATAAAAAATTTCAATGTTTTTATTATTAGTAAGGCATTCTAGGAGTGGTATTAGGGATGAAGAATCCTAAGATTAGTAGTCGAGCCCAGGACACCTTTAAAAATTACCCAACTTTTTACGATCCGAGACCGTTCCGTTCTTTAAATTTTTTTTATTTGTTGCAGTAAATTGTATTGGAGCGTTTATAGTGTTTTTAAGTAGTCCTACCGAGTTAAATCGTGGATTTTAGTATTTATTCGTTAAAATTCGTTAATAATTTTTATTTAAACTTAATATTTTTTTATTTGCCTTTACTTTTACTAAGTTTTGTCACATATTTTTTTGTTTCGTGTGGTTAGATGGTTTTGTTGTTTTTGTGATAGGGTCTTTTGGTGAGCCCGTATAGGGCAACGCAATTTACCTCATTAAAATAACAGTTTTCTTGGTTTTTGCTTCCTTCTTGTTTGGTTTTAAAACCTTGTTTTACCTAGTTTACGTTTTTATTTTATTATGGAAAGAAATTGGTTGTCCCAAGATGAGTTCGCGTACGGCTTTTCAATCTGTAAGGTCGAAGCTATGTGGAAATCAATTAGGGCTTAGAGGAAATTGGTAAAAAAGAGGCCTTAATTAGGCAACTGGAGGCAGTTAGGTCATCAGTGGATGCGTTTGCCCCTCTTCCGATTCGTAAGGCCCAGAGGTTGTTGGAACCTGACCTGGCTTATGTCTCGGCTGGTGTAGAGGTCGCTGGTGAAGCGACACTACCCGACGTGTGCAGCGAAGCGGAGTAACTCCCATGGTACCCAACGAAGTATGCCTTCCGGTGGTGGGCGAGGCCGTAACCCCTTCAGTTCACGGGCTGTGAGAGATGGTAGGACCGAAGAAAAAATATAATTGAGAAGTAAAAACCTTTCTTGTCGAACGAAAACCAAACTCTACAAGTCGCTCATCATATCCGTCCTACTATATGGCTCAGATACTTGGACGATGCCAAATGTGATGAATCGGCTCTGGGAGTCTTCAAGAGAAAGTTTTGCGAATGATTTA